CAATGTCAGCTGGATGAGAGACTAAGTCTCATTACATGCCTGATACTCACCAGAGGTGAACAAATAGCCTTTATTTTGAAATTAAAGAGACATATCCAAAAACAAAATCTAAAATTTATACCCCAAATGTATTACTTTACTTGATGTCAGGTCTTAATATGTGTGTATGCAAATGCATGCATTTGTGTGTGTGTTGTATGTATATGCATATATATATATGTATGTGTGTGTGTGTGTGTGTGTGTGTGTGTGTGTGTGTGTGTGTGTACCAAAGTCATTGTGCAGTCCATAAAAGTGAAAAGGCATGTATTTGGTAAGTTTGATGACCATTATTGGCTGCTATACATTACAATCGCCTGAACAAAGTGAATTAACATTGTGTTCTAATAGCTTGCTAGTCACACCATTGATGAGGGTATGAGAAAATGTCCAACCCTCAAATGAAATGCTGGTCAGATTAAGTCAGCAGCCATCTCTTGGTCATGTATACTCACAGCCTGGAGAACGGAGCACACTCAGCATGGAGGCCTGCAACAGGCTTGCACTGAGGAAAGAATCAAGCATTTGAGAGGCCGGCTTTGAGGCAACAAGAGTCTGTAGAGAATTTGGGGTCTCAAGGGAGACTGCGATGGGCTTGAGGACAGAGAAGGTGTAGATGACTGTTAGGCTGAAAATGGGTGAAATGCTGTTCACCCACCTGGTAGGAAACTTGCCAGATTGGAAGCACGCTCCTCTGAGGGGTGGGCCAGAGTGGAGTGTGTATATAAGGAGCAAGAGAGCCTATACTTATTTTTGATTTCCTACATGGAACAAAGTTATCAAAGCAGAATGTAGAACGAAGGGCATTATGATGCATAGTCTCAGACAGTTGTGATTTATGATATCTCCTTCATCTTGAATGCAAAGAGAAGACCAAGCAATTGACTCCTTCCTGAGGGACTTAGGGGTACTAATGCTTTGCAAATTAAAGTCTTCCTTCAAAACTTTTAATTTCATCTACTGGAATTAAACTTCTAAACACTGCAGGCTACTGTGGAAAAAGAAGAAAACACAATCATTTCTTTTAAACTCATGTCTACATCATCTGAGAGCCCGGTCCTGAGTTTGGTGCTTCTGTGAGGTTTCTCCACACAGATCACTATGAAGAGGGAAATGAAGGAGACCATACTAAAAACTGAAACTCTCCCTATCTGTAAACATGCAGGTCATGGACTGGGGTCTACCTTTACAATATTTTCTGCCTCAGGAACTTCAGAAAAATGTAATACCCTAAAGTTCTGTAATCAGATTGCTTTCTGGAGATGCCCTCAACTCCCAGAGTCCCCCAAGTAATTTTAGCATTTATTTTATCTCTATAATTGCTGATATGTAATAGCTAAGTTTCAACTAGATCTGAGACTCAATTGGAGTATTAAAACAATAGATAAACAAAGAGCAAAAACTTGATCCAGCATCAGAGATCTGAGTTTGAAAACTATTCTGACAGTTTCAATATAGATAAGACTTAGGAAAGGCTGTTTATTACCCATAGCCTAAAGCCTTGTTTCTCCAATGGGACTGATGGGAGATTTATATATAAAAGTAGCTAGAACTCATCTGACTGCTCTACTTGTCCATCCATCCACTCATCCATCAATCCACCCACCCACCCATCCCTCCATCTACCCATCCACCCACCCATCCATCCATCCATCCACCCACCCTTCCATTCATCTATCCACCAATCCATCCACCCACCCACCCACTCATCCATCAGTCCACCCACCCACCCATCCATCCACCCACCCACCCACTCATCCATCAATCCACCCACCCACCCATCCATCCATTTATCCACCCATCCATCTACCCACCCATCCATCCATCCATTCATCCATCATCTACCTACCTATCCATCCATTCATCTACCCATCCATCTACCAACCCACCCACCCACCCATCCATGCATCCATTCACCCATCCACCAACCCATCCATCCATCCATCCATCCATCCATCCATCCATCCATCTGCAGCATATAAAATAATGAGAATCTCTGTTCCATACCAACAGTGAATCAATGTAGTAACAAAAAATAGCTATGAAAGCACAGCAGACAGAATCTTGGCAGATAGACATCTTCCAGATGTACAATAGTGGCCCCTGTGTCACATTAGAGATAATACATCAAACTGTCAGCCTCAGCTTTATGTTCTATGGTGTGCTTATATAATTTGCTTAAATAATTTAGGTGAGAGACCTACATTAATTCAACATCTAGTTCTCTCTCTCTCTCTCTCTCTCTCTCTCTCTCTCTCTCTCTCTCTCTCATGCTTCATCTTGAACTTTGTGATTTTATTTTGTAACTGTAAATTTTAAATCATAACAAATTCTATAAGCATCCAAATCCTAATGTATGTGTCAGGAATCTCATAAGATACTGCAACACTGGCAATGAAAATAGTACCACTCTGGAAAATTTGTATTTAATTTAATACAATCAGGGTTTTTTATGTAGCTGATATGTTAATACATTTCAATGCATTCTCTGAAGTATAAGAGGGAAAGGTGTGTGTGTGTGTGTGTGTGTGTGTGTGTGTGTGTGTGTGTGAGAGAGAGAGAGAGAGAGAGAGAGAGAGAGAGAGAGAGAGAGAGAGAGAGAGAGAGAATTGTGGGGGGTGTTGATTGTGTCTGAGCAAACTTTGAACTTGTCCAGTTTTCTCTATGCATACAGGGAGAGAACTTGGAACTTTATTCAGGGCTGAGTGTCAGTGCAGGTTATTAATATTTATGGCTCCTTCTCAGTAAGTCTGAAATCTACTCTTGCACGCTAAGAAAAATCAATGGAAGCTCCATATAACCCACTCTATCCTCTAAGACACTTTCACTCTATTATCTCATTTGATCTGTCCCCAACCTACTTTGGGCTACTCAAAGAGTGAAGTACAATCCAGCAAGCACAAGAAAGAGACCCTAACATGTCCACCAGTGCCAAGTTTCTGATTTTCAGCTGATGTCCTGAAAAGCCAGCGTCTCTCAATTCCCACCACCTGTGCCTCCACTTCATTAGGGATTTCCTGGTGACTGATTGTTGAACACTTTCCCTTACTTTTTTTCCCCCCTCATGCCGGGCAGGGGGCCTGGACAGCTACCTGAAACTCCAGGTTACCTGCAGAGTGTCTCTTCTTCTAGCCCTGCTGGGAGCACAATGGAAAACTCCAGGGAAGAGGAGGGTACAAGCATATGTATGCAGTAGGGAGAGAACTCCTGCTCTGAATCACTCCCTACCTGCTTTTGTCTAGTTGGTAAAATTTGGGGCAAGAATGTAAAGGACAATGTGGAAACTTAAAGAAAGCAGACTTCCCTCTCCTGGCAGTATTCACATGTCAATAACTTCCCAGGCAGGGGCTCCTCCATGCTGGCATTTTGTCTGGCTTGAGCTTAAGCAGGTCATGCTGTCGCAGTTGCTGAGAGTTCCTATGTGTATTTGCCCTGTTGTGTCTAGAAGACACTACTTCCTTGAAGTCTTATACTACCTTCTGCCTCTTACAATCTGTCTTCCTCTACTTCCACGCAGAGCTCCCTGAGCTTTGAGGGTGGGGGTGTAATACAGACATCCCATTTAGTGCTGAACACTTCAGTCTCTTATTCTTTGCACACTAACCAGTTGTGGGTCTCTGTGTCAATGTCCATCTACTCCAAGAAGCAGCTTCTCGAAAGAGGGTTGAGCTCTGTACTGATCTATGGCTATAGTTATAAGTCATCAGGAGCTGTTTCAATGCTATTCTTGGGGGGCTGTTGTAAGGAAATAGGGGCAAAAGTAGAGGGCTCACTGTCTGCTCGCTTGTGCAGTATGTATCACATCCTCTTTGAGGATGGATGTGGTCTGTGTGATCATCACAGCCTTGACTCTTGGACTACTGGGATTTAACTCAAGAGTATACCACCCATGGCCTGGGGCTTTCACCACAGAGACGGTGCTTCACTAGCTCTCCTCTCAGCATGCCACTTTATAAATTAAGTAGGTAATCCCCAAAACACCATATCAGAAACTCTTGTTTCCTTAAGTAGGAAACAGAACATGGTTCCTAGGTGACACTTCATGTATTATTGTGTTATACATGACACTCTTCCTCTATTATTTTGCTCCTGTTTATAGTAAGGATTAGAGCCAAAATTTTTGTCTATAAAAACAGTAATAAAGCATCATTTTTGTTCCATTTTGTTATGTCCTGAAATAATTACACAATTTCATATTATTAAAAGAATTTCTAAGGCACTGATAGGATTAAGAAACATTAAAATAAAATAAGCTTTGTTCAAATAAAAGAAATCTCACAAAGTCTACTTAGACCAGATCATTAGCTCTCATTCATAATACAGTGAGATCTGATAATCCGAAGAAATTTACTACTAGAGCATAACATAATAACTTCGGATATGATACTAATTTTATTACTTATACCATGCCAGGTATAACTATTGTGCAAGCTTAAGATGGCATTGGTAAACTTAATATCAAAAGGCTTCTTGTGCTGGTTACTTTTCATCAACTTGACACAATCTAGAATATCTGAGAAGAGGGAACTTCAGTTCTGCTTCCATCAGATTGGCCTGTAGGTAAATCTGCTGGACATTTTCTAGGTTAATGATTGATGTTGGAGGGTCCAGCTCACTGTGGGTGGTACCACCAATGAGGAGGTGGTCCTGGAAGGTACACGAAAACAAGCTGAGCTAGCCATAGGGAGCAAGCCTATAAGCAGCATTTCTCCATGCCTTTTGATTCAGTTCCTGCCTCCAGGTTCCTGCTTTGGCTTCCTTGAATGATAGATGCTCTCCTCGAAGTGTAAGATGAAATAAACCTTTTCCTCTCCAAGTTGCTTTATCATGATGTTTATCACAGCAATAGAAAGCATCAAGACACACCCCTAAAATTATCCCCATGTTTTTTTGTCATAGAAATCTTTTCATATAAGTAGCCAATTTCAAAATTCCAATAAAGACTCACTAATTCAAACAAGTTCCATAAAATGCACATTTTATTCTGTATCATGAAAAAATATCCACATTTAAATAAAGTGTGAAAAAAAAAGTTAATCCTCCCTGATGAAATACAGTTTATTGTGCTAAAACCCAGGTTATTTTGGGTTAGAAACTTCCACCTGCCAATTCACTTTTTGGAAACAACAATTTCTTTAGAATGAACTTTCAATAAAGTGAAAATTGTGACAAACTTCCCAACTGCAATTGAATTTGATCACAGTATTTCAGGATTGACCCTAAAGTCTCCAATTTAAGATGTTTTTCACAAAACTTCTAAGCAGTTGAGCAATAAGTCAATAGTACATACAAAATTTCTATATTACACACTGCAATGTCTTGATTTAAGTAGAAAAACATGATCAGTCTAGCATGAACCAAACTTTGAAAACTATAGACAAGTACTGCTTAGCATATTGGTATTAAAAATATCTTCCGTGAAGTGTTGACCTATTTCCTTAATCAATACATAAACCAAATATTTCCACTGAGTTAACCCTTAGGAAGCATTTTTAATATCCACAAATATGGTTACAGAGGCAGAAACATTTTTGAGAACTTGAAAAAATAAATCCCTGTAGCAAGATCAGCCAGGAGTTTACATTGTAGGGTACAAAATGGTATCATTGGTGTACACAAAGTCAGTAGAACATAGAGTCAAAAGAAATAATATATGATTTCCAATATATCGTAGATTTGCATGATTAATAGTGTTGTCTGAGTACCAAGCATTTTCTGACGTCACTGCTGTCTTAATAAACAACAGGAAACAACTGTTAGCTGTAACTGAATTTTTTACCAAAACATGTAGGTTTGGGATAGAAATGATTCTAACCTACTGCCCAACTTACCCTAACCCTTTCACCAGGGAAGGGAGTATCCATCATGATGATAGTTTAAATCAGATTCTTAGGTAAAGCATGAGTCATCCCTCCCTCTCACTGTGGTGAGCTTTAGTGTGGAAGGAGGCTGCTCCAGAGAGGAAGCCAGTGGATCCACTATGAAAACTGAGCCAATTTAACATCGTAATGTCACTGCTGGAGATGCTGAGACTCACAGCATGAAACATGCCCCCAAGGTCAAAAAGACATCTTTCCCACTAAGTTTCCTGAAATGAAATACTTTAAATAACTGATTTTTAAAGAAAGTACATTGAGATTTTATTTAATAATCCACTCTTATGAGATGTATTAGACAAATATTAAAGATTCAGTTCAGTCAAACTTCGACACAAAACTAAAAAGGACTCATTATTCTACTTTGCATAGTTTGCTGACTAGCTCATCTTTCTACTTAATCAACTGGGCTATTATCAGGAATGGTTTCCTAACATTTTGGTTGGAAAAGTTTGGGACCAACTCTTTCAACAATGTTCAATTTCCTTTACTTAGTGAAGCACCTCACCGTCGGAAGAGGTGGCTCAATTCTGCATTGTCAAAGACGATTTGGCTGAGAATAAAGATATAATAATGACGTGTTATTTGCATCAGTTATTAAGTGTAAATATTCAGTCTGATTTATTCAGGCATTGAGTTTTGTTTTTTGTTTTTCTTTTTCTTTTTCTTTTTTGGCCTTGTCTGTGCTTCTGTGCTGGTTCTTCATCAGCCAGCAATTCTGCATAAATACCAGTCCTCTGGAAACCATCTAATCAAGACACCAACTAACTACCCAACTACTTCAGGGACTTGGACTGGGTTGAAGCCCAAAATCATAAACTTGGAAGTAGGTTAAAAAAGCATCCTCTCATGTTAAAAGCCCTAAATAACCAACAAGTTTTCAAACTAGTTCCTAATGTTTCATTAAAATCAAAACCACGGTTGTAACAACGTGATTTCAAAATTAATCAAACAAAAACTATTAAAAAGATATCACACAAGGAGGAACCATTATTCTCCCCAATACCCTGTAGCTTTTTGGCAGTGTTCTTTAATCAAATGCCACAGTGAGCACAGGTTAACAATGAACATTTAGCAAGCACCCCATTTACATGAAAATGCCAAAGATGAAAAGTGACCTAACTGTGAGAAGTTTCCGATAGAGTCCCAAGGGTCCTCCCAGTTAGGCATAAAGCTGTGTGCTAGTCATAGTTCCCACTACCCCCTGTCACTCACTGCCTCCTGTCACTCACAGGGTAGCTTGGATTGAGACTTCTGGACTGTGAGGTGGTGATGTCCTGTCTGTGTTTTGTTTTCTCAAGACACTTCCTTCAAACATCTCAAAAGACAGAAAAAAAAATCGATCACATTTTAAATGTTAACTTCTTTCATTAGAGAAAATTAATTGTTTAAAGAAAGTATGAATACAAGTTTGGGAATGAGAACACATTCTAAATAAAAAAAGCTCATTTGGAAGATGCATTTAATAGTGGTTTGGCAAGAAATGGTCATCCGTATAATCAATAAGAAAAGGCTTAAAAATCCTATTTAATGCCCAATGAATCTAATTTTTTTTAAATAAAGCCTTCTGATGTCTCATTCTAAACTGCAGAAAAAGAAGTCTTGAGCACTTATTGCTTTCACACACACACACACACACACACACACACACACACATACACACACACACACACACACACACACACACACACACACACACACACACAAAACCCCTTAGGTGAAAATTCATCGGGGAAAGACAACATGAAATATACACACCCGTGATGTGTTACATTTGTCTGTTACTTATAACTACATTTCCCAGTTTACCCCCATTACCGCCTGTCAATTGTTGGGAGAAGTGAAGGAAAATTCAGTTTTTGGACCATGGCATATTTTACTCATAACAGTTATGATATCAATCTTTGCCATTGACTCTGACCACTAGGAAAGTCAAGCATTTACATTGCAGGGTATAGTTTTTCAAAATTATTTTTATTCACAGAATCTTTGAATGTACATGTCCTGAAAATTTTGGAATTTATGCTTGAAGAGCTTGTCCTTACAACCCTAGTATTACGCAAGAAGACTTTTTTCTAAGGTCCAACTGCCTGTGCTAGAACATCAGCTTTACTGATTTATTGGTTATTAATTGGCTACTGCAATCCTATTTAAGTTCCTTAATTTACTCCTTCACAGGAATGTTGCAGAATTAAATCTGATTATTTACATTGCTTACATTTGCTTAGTACAGTAAATACTCAATAAATATGAGCCTAATTAACATTCACTTACTTCTATATCTAAAGGAAAGGAAGCACATGGGTATGACTTATCTCGGCTACCCTGTGCTGTCTCCGGTTCGTTGTCCAAACCCTCAGTGGTCCTGACCCTCACAAAGCATGCAAACAGCCTTGTATTAAGAAGCAAGAGACAGAAAAACTTAAGTTAGAATGCGTACTGGTACTCTTAGGGCATAGGACACATGGTATGTACTTAAAAAAAATCTGATTCATGTCTCTTCCCTATATAGCATGAGTCAGCATTTTAATGATAATCTAGAACCAACCATAACCTCTATTGCCATATAAGCAAGTATGGACTAAATATTCTCTTTTTCCAAATTCACAAACACGCCAAACTTCATTACTGAATTCAATCAATTTTTAGTACTCTAAAGATAACTTAAAATGTTTAGCTTTCTGTACAGAGAAATGCTGTGTGTGTGTGTGTGTGTGTGTGTGTGTGTGTGTGTGTGTGTGTGTGCGCGCGCGTGCCTTCCTGAGTATTCTTGAGGTACAAAAGATAAAATGATAGTGTGGGAGAACTCCATCTTGATCCAGGACCTTTGGACACCTCCCTTCTCAGATGACTAAGAAGCATCTATCAAGCATAAAATACTTTGAAAATTAAAGCTATTAATTATAATTTTCAAGAGCACTGCTTAACACATTGATGTATTGAATATAATTAGGTATCACTATTCAATTAATTAATTTGTTATTTAAAATATTTAAAATTTAGAGAAAGCATTTTGCCTTAATACTTAAAATTCAATTGACTTAACATCTAAATGTCTCATTCTAGAAATATCCTAAATGAGAAAAATTGAGTCAAGTCTAGGAGATTAAAAAAAAAACTATGAATATGAGAAAACTTAATTTATGTTTTAGCACAGAAAAAAAAGGAAGTGAATGATGACTAATAAAAAGGACTACAACTACTAATTAAGATTGAACTATGGATGATAAGTCTTTGAAAATAAGTGAAATTTGAGAATACTGAAGATCAACACTTTAGAGGGAAGAGATATGGAAATCAAGAACATGAGGTCATCAAAGAAGGGTGACTCTGGAACCTCATTGTTGCAACTGCATTTTCCACAGTTTACTTAGGGGGACCAGAATCAGCTCATAGATGATTTCTTTTCTTAAAAAAAAAAAAAAAAAAAAAAAACAAAACTAACAATGAAGAAGAATCTATCCAGCACAGAGCCATCTGAATTTACTTCTTGTTCAATTCCTACAGTTCAGCTAAGTTTAATAATTGATATTATCTAAACATTTAAAAACTCCTTAAGATTTGGAATGAGTATACATTGTCCTCTTACCTTTCAGAGGGTGGTGGTGTGGCAGTCAGGAAAATATATTATAACTATAGAAAAGGGGTATTAATTGTTTTCCTTCTGCTTGACTGGTCCTGTTATTGCTGTTCTCTGTGAATGTCTTAGTTTTTGTTTTTTCCCCTTTCTCTTTTGCAATTAGTAGCAAATCTAGACTTAACCAACGTTTTACTGACAGCACTATTTACAGAAAAAAAAAACATGTGAAAGTAAGCCAATTGTTGCACACTCACTGGAGTTGACTAGAATGCACCTCTCAGCAATGCCAATGACCATGATAAAGTCTAAAGCACCCTCCACTGTGCATCGCTTCCCCCCACCTCCAATATGGATATGTAAATCCTGATCTGGACTCTCACACATGCAAATATCCCAGCATTGGTAACTTATTTAGCACTTGAATCTACATTTTTATCCTGATTGTGTGACCCTGATGAACATTAGTTCTGGTTTTGTTTTCCTGGTCCAGGATAAGAAGATTTTCTATAACATTAAAGCAATCTTCATCAACTCTAAAAAGGAATAGCTATCATTTTGCAATCCTAATGGTTTTCTTATATAAGCTGATAAAGCATTCAGCCTGCAAGCATAAGATTCCACTCAAAGGAAACTGATTGAAAATATTTATTTGTATGTAAAGGAACTGTTAGTTGTAATGCCATAGGCCTAATACAGTAGATAAAAATATAAATATTACTAATTGCTTAGCAAATAGAGCATTATAGTAGAGAGTAAAAAGTCAGGGCCAATGATGGACTACCTCTTAACCCCCTTTGACTCTAAGTCTTAATTTCTTAAAGACATTTAAAGCTAATAATTTTTTCGATGCTTGCAACTATGTGTATTTCAAAATATTCTTAGTAAATTCTTAATTGGAAACACATTTTAAAATTGCAGATTGGTGAGAATCCTAGCAAAATCCAAAGAGAGATCTAAACATAAATGTTCTTTCTGTTGAAATTAAAAAAAAAAGTCTCCTTTGTGTTTAGTGCCCTTGTTATTTTCTTACCCTGAACCATCACAGCAAATATAACAATAAGACTTTATGTGGAGCCCTGAGGACAAAAGGCTTCCTTGCAGAATGAAAAAACATTAACAAAATGAGCCTTATGTTCAAAAATCAAATGTTTATATATTGTACACTGCTTCCTTGAATTCTAACAATAACCATCCCATCAATTTCTCATTTAACACACTGTCACTGAGGACACATATCATGAGCACGTGTTAGTGCCTTTCAAATGGCTAGTGTGGTTTTTCTGTAAAGAAAAACTACTTCCCATTGACCTAAGAAGAGCTTGATAGAACATGGGAGGAGTTTGGGCCTTTGTTTTGGTACTTATTATTTGGAAAACTGATAAAGAAACACGCTAAAGACAGCTGACTATCCAAACTTTGCTAGATTGACAGAGCTGGAGTCAGAATCTGAGATGGCACTCAGTGATGTGTAAAATCTAAAAGTACGTTCTCCTCGCCCTTTCCAAGAGAATCCCAGGAGCGATACTCACATCTAAGAAAGGTTCAAAGCACAGCATTCACCTAAGGAAATACTCATTTCAGAGGTCTCTGTATGTGGTAGCTCTAGACAAACTTTCTCATTCTCTACGTGAAACTTTGGGGTGGGGCGGGGGAATCAGAAATTAACTTTAAAAAGAGAAATGATACAAGGTAACAAAATTCAGCAATAACTAGGTTAGTGAAAAAAGAGGCCATGAATTTGAAAGAGAGAGAGCATGGAAGGGTAGACAGAAGGGTTTGGAGAGAGGAAAGGGAAGGGGAAATATTGTAATTAAATTTTGAAAAGGACAATTTCACAAGGATCAGCTGCTACACAATTCCAGTCACTTCTTTGAAGACTAACTCAAAACAAAAAACAAACAAAACAAAACAAACAAACAAAAAACCCAACAGGTTTTTCCAAAAGAATTCCAGTTTTTTGGATCTCACAGGTAAACAATATCTCCTTAAATCCCATGTGACTTGTATTTAGATTTCAATTAGGTTAATTGTCAAAATTTCACTTTAGTTTGCTGTTATGAGTAACACTCCTGTTAATGTACTGGGTAGCACTGAGTAGGTCTTTGTTCTAGGAACCATCAAAACCTCTCATTCTCATGTTCTCTGCCCTCTGACCTATGCAAAACTGTAGGTAATTTTCTTAACATTCAGGATGTTTTGTAGCCTTGTACACCATGTGAAGCGCGATCAGGGTTGCAATAAAAAGTTCCCTTTAAACAATGAAGTTTGAGTGTGAACTTGACCACTATTCCTGAACTAGTTCAAGGTCACTCATGTAAATGGGAGACACTAGGAGTTTTGATGTTGTTTTCTATCTTTGGGGTTTCTATTCGCTCTTTATTGCAAGCTCTTCTGTCTACTAGATCACACTTAGTGCAACACTATCCTGGCACAGGTCAGCAAATCTTCCTGCTCTGATGCAAAGAAGATCACAATTCTGTTTGCATTCGATTTTTGCTATCATGTCACAACCACCTGCCCAGAATACAGTGTCTCATCTTGCATTTTCATAGCATCATAACAGAGTTAAAGATGTATAGGTTGCTTTGCAAAATGTTTGCATTTCAAATACATATCCACTTAGTCCTATTAGTACACTGTTCAGAAATATAATAATAAAAAAATTCTAGATGCACCAAGAGCACCTATACAGTGTAGGAATAAAACATGCAGTCATCTGGTCCCGCAAAGAGCCTGCACTGTCTGTGTGCTGGTTGAGGCTACACAGAATGTGATTGTATCATTATCACATGTGTGTAAGCAAGCATTCTGGCTAAATTCTACTGTGAAGAATTTTAAAATCTGGAAACCTAAGACTATATACAATGTTCGCTGAAGATGTGCAGAGTGCGTTCAGCACCACATCGTGTCATGCACTCGGACGACAGAAGTCTGGAAAAGAATACTGTGGGAACTGCACCAAAAAATAAGCAGTTAACACTTTCCCTCCCTAGTGAAGGTCCGGTGCAGTTCAAAACCATTGTGTTACTTTCCCACCTATGGGAACATGTGTTTAGATAGAAATTTCATTATGGCTAATGTTGTAGGTCGTTAGCTAAAACTGTCTGAGTCAATGTCAGATCCTGGCAAAGGTTTGTAAGCCTAATATGAAAAGGCATGCATTACATTTCAAACTAGTTTCCTGCGTTAGTGACCCTCTTATAGCTTGAAACCAGCTGTTAGTTTTGGATGTAGCTAAAGTCAGAACAATGATTTCTGAGCTCATGGTTTTTGTTTTTGTTTTTATCGTCCATTCATCTTTAAAGGTATTCGTCACACTTGACTTTAGCAAATAAGAAGAAGCTCTGAAACCCAGTAAATCTTAGAAGTCAATGACAAGGTATCTTCCACAGTACAAAAGCTAAGACAAACAAGCCCCCCAAACCTCCATTTTAAGGCTGATTCTGTAATTACATTTCCTTTTGCCTGTGGCAGATAGGAATCTTAGCAGGACATGGAGATCTATGGCCCTGGAAATGTCCATTTTGAGTAATGGAAAGGAAAGCAACTGTAACCCACTGTACCTAATATACATTCCAGGAGTCCTAGAAAAAAGGGGTACATCTTAGGGACATGTGGAGAACTTTTACAAAGTCTTACTGTTTTATACTTCTCCGGTATGACTGTGGTAACTCTTCTCTCAATTTTAGAGAGACTGGGAGATGGAAAAGCACATAAAATTGGGTATAAAAGAGCAAAATATTTTCTTTGATTTTTGTCACCGTCATTTGTATATTCACCTGTCTATATAGGCATATATAATGCATGTATATTTATAGCCTAGCAATACACAAGTGATTGAAATATACTTTCAGGTTAATGCAAACACTAGCTTCCTTACTCTCAATATTGAACTTTGTGCCTGCACCAACTGAAAAGCACTCCCCCAGGAAGAACTCCGGAAAACATTCTGGAGTCATAAGAAACAGCTTCCATGAGTTCTCAAGAGGGGTATGCATTTCATTTTGAGTGTTTATCATCTGAGGGCCTAAATACAGACAGTGCAACATTTGTGACTTCTCTTTTGGTTGGTAATAGGCACTTTCTCAGAAGAGGAATTGTTACCCAAAAGACTATGACATTCAGCCCCATAAGCCTCTTGTGAGTGGATCTGCCAGAGCCATAGTGGTCTATTGTATCAACCCAACAGAAGGCCAGCAATGCAACTGCATGCAAAAGAGCTTAGGGGATTTTGTACCCAGAATAAAGTCATAGAAAAACAATTATCTGAATAAAGCAACTAAATGTTGCCTTCTAGGTTGGTTATTTTGTAAGTTAACCACTGCTCAAGTTGTCAACCTCTTCAAGCAACAAAAATCATGTGTCTGCATTTCTGTACCTATAGTTCATTCTTTCTAAGCCACGGATGTGCAATTAAAACATGTCCAATTGCTTATGTCCTTTTCAAAAAATTATATCAACAATTTAAATTTTGATATGTTTCTTTGCTAAGAGCCTTTCAACACCCTCCCCCCTTTGAACAAGCTATGGAAATATAAATGTAGAACATTCATTGCCTTTGGACAATCGGCATATCTAACATATTGTTAAAAGGCCCTTATACCCTGTGGTGCAGTGTTTTCTATAATAATATACACTATATTAACAATTGAGTATTTATGGTGTTGATAATGTCAGCTCCCAAAATGACAGTTGTTCTCCAAGACGGAGGGAGCAGGGAATTCTTTACATAAGAGCTAATGATTACTATCTAATACAATGCTAAAAAGGAGAGGTATCATTGAGTGGAAATGCAATTCATGCACAAAACCCAAAGCAATAAGTTCTCAGTATCCGACACTGGCATCAGTTGTAGGCAACGACACAGTCATTTCAATGGAGCAAACATTGCCTGTAGGGAAAAAGAACCTAACACTAAGTTACAGAAAAATACCCTATGGCATGAGATCGTAAAATGGTCTGACAGCTTCAGAAGCTGCACTCTTCCCTTGACATTAATCTATAATTTTAACTAAACAGAATAGTGAAGAAATGACAGCTCGATATACTCAGCCTGAGATCAAGTTTGTCATGGCAACATTGGCAGGTTGGACCCTGATTCTTCAAAGATTACATTGCCTTAGTTAACAAAATTCATACTTTTTTTTATTACAGAATAGAGATTATAAATAAATGTAAAGTGTGCATGCAGTCAACTGCATAATATACAAGCAATATCTATGTTTTGAATAATCATCTTTGGCAGGCCAGAATCCAGCTGGACATGCAGTATGTACATATCAAAATCCATATTGTGTTCATCATATTGAAAGCAAGTGAAAATATATATATGTATATACTATATATACACACATATGTATATAGATGTATATACCATTTTAAATATATTGACAAATATATATGTATATATATTTATATATTAAAAGTTGATTTCATCTTTGTCAGATTCAGGTGACTCGGGCCTTGAGACACTAAAAATATCCTGACATGGTATTTGGGGAGGTACTTGGAGTGGCATTTGGGGTTTTGGAGAGGAGGTCTGGGGTATACTTTTCTCTGAGAGTAGTTTTAAAATTTCTGCCACCTGCTTTTCCAGGGCAGTCATTCTGCAGCTCAGCAGCTGGATGTCCTCTTTGAGTTCGTGTTTTACTTCCTGCAGTGTGGTTTGTAAGGCCTGCTCAGGGATGGGGTAAAAAGGATGCTTGGCATCAGCCTGGATAGGACTGTGTTCTAGAGGACTTCGGGCCTCACCAGCTTTATCCAAACGAAGGTCACTTTTTGTAATCCCACTGTCACAAGAGTCTGTTTTCCTTAAGGGGTTCTTGGTCACACTGTTCTCTGAATCACTGCCTTTGGGGTCCTCTGACAACAGCCCCATCGACTCAGCTTTGGTGACATTATTCCAGTCTTCCTTTTTCTCTTCGTGGGTCCCCATGTTGTTCTTCAATCTCAGCCACCCTTTCCCATTTCCATTCTTCATTCTGATGGGGCTGTTGACTTTGAGACATTTTTGTTCAGCACCACCACCATTGGGCTTCAGTTCCATGGCATCACGGTTGTTCTGCTTAAGGGACTCGCTGGTTTTCACGTAGGCCAGAGACGTCTGGATGGGGGTAATCTGGGACACGGTGACCACGCTGGTACCTGTGATGGAGGCGCCGTTCTGCAAAGGGCGGCTCTCCACCTGAAGCTGGCTCCTCTCAGGGTCACTCTGCACTGAGCCCTGGTTCCTCAGTTCCTTCTGCTGCTTGAACTTCTGGAAGAGCTTCCGAACTGGGTGGTCCACAGGGATGCTGAGAGTCACCTCGTTCTTCTGCCGTAGCCGCTCTTCCTCTTCTTTCTTCACGTCACTAATTTTACGGAAGATGATCTGGAGAAGGGGGGAGATGATTAAACCGTGGTTACAGAAGCAGATGGCTTTATACTCGAGTAATACTATGCTGAGTGTGCTTTGCTTTATGCAGAAAACATCTATACACACCACACATAGAAAACATCTGCACACATCACACACAGAAAACATGTGCATACACTATACACCCTTTTCCTAAGGGAGAAGTTATTTAGATACCACATAACAATTCAATATACCCAAATTTAACACAGGGACACTGACTGCTCTCCTATACACTACAGGGTGAAAGCGGTTGACACAACACTGTAAAAGTACTTCATGGCCCCATTTAAAAGAATATGCACAAATGTATACTAGTACATGTGCATTTGTTTATATACAGATATATATATTCCTTAAACTTCCCGGGAACACATCCTCATTTTGGTATGGTTTCTCCCTTTCTGAGTATGTTTCAGAACCATTTTTAATGTTATCCTCTGTTTATGGATAAGAGCAGGAGTTGCAGGCTTTGTGAGTACTGAAAAGGTACCAAGTTCTCCAGTGAGATAACCAGGGTGCACAGCAGGGGGTGGAGAGTGAATATATTTACTTATGTGCCCACAAACGAAGAACAAGAACTGTGAGGAAAAATGTCTAAGAAGCAAGTGTAAATCAACACACATCCTTAAAGTTGCTGGTAAGTAGACCACCTCAGAAACACTTGAACTTCCACCTCTAAAATATTCAAACATAAGAATATTTTTTTCTCATGTGACACTTTTGATGGAGATGGAATTTCAAATCTTAAGACACTTGATACTTTACATATGAAATTCAATATATAGTATGTGTGATGTTAGGTGGGCATCCCTCAGTAAATAAATATACTATTAAAATCTCCTGAAAATGTTGAGAAGAAATTGTGGTGACACCATGAAAGGTAATTAAAAATTATTGGCTATATGAGATATTACCCAGTATATTTTCAGTTAGAATTTAACTTATTGAGTTTTTTTTCCCTCAGATTCCTAAAAAACAAAATAACTGCACATGAAATCTGTGAGGAAAATTAAGAAGAGTTTCACCAAATGTAGCACTTTCAGAATCAAACAATTTTACAACCCAAACAAAATTACTTCTCTCTTTCATCAGCCCATGTTGTTGTCTAGAGTAACAACACATGTGGAGCATGTAGTCCCAACCCATAATAGACCCTCAAAATATGTTGGTTCTCTCCCCTTGAACTCAAAAGACCTCTAACTTGTAAAAATTTTATCACCTTTTAAAGGTTCATCAGATCCCAGGAGTAAAACATAGTCACAGGTTATACAACAGAAAGAAATATTAATGATGACTGATGCCAACAGAGAAGTCTAAAGTCAAGCAGGCAGTAATCATCCTTCTATGCCACACCACATTTTCTAGAATGAGATTGGCGTACTAAAGCCAACCTACCAAGTGGTAGTAACTTGAAACTTAAAATAAATAAATATTATAAATTCAATAATTACATGGAAAGACTACCATATGTTCTCCTCTCTGGTGGCACATGAAATTGGGCCTTTTTTTTTTTTTTAACAGATGTAACACTAATCGCAAAGTCTGACATCAAAGCTACAGCAGTTTAATTAGAAATCTTCCTGAGGTTTGATGCACTTCTTATCCTTCGTACAGAAACAGAACATGCACTAAGCCTTCAGGGCATTAACACCCTTTGGGATCAGACAGACACCAATGTGGAAAACTCAGATACTATTTGTGTTGGTCCCATGAGCTGACAGAAGGAGCCTGGTATAAATGACTCTCCACATCCCAATCTAACTCACCCCAAGTCACTCTTCTAAATAGGCAATTACTTAGCCCAGAACAGATAAAGCCTTGATGTGATCCTTGACATTAGGGGAAAGGGAATTCATTTCAAATCCCAGCAGAGAAGAGCAAGTACTTGACACACAGGAACAGACGTGACACAGGACAACCGCACAATGTGTGGGTCATACTAAACAAGCACACATTATTGGGCATGTTGAGAAGTATCTGGATTCACATGAAATTTTATTTAACACAGGGTCTTGTATTTTTGTGACTCCACTTGGTGTCCCTCTATTTTGCAATAGATCAGACTACTGTCATCCATATAATATCTCCACATATCTCACAGCTTACAAAGTCCATATGAAAATGCTTGGTTTCTCTGGTGATTGAGAATTATGGGCATCTGAACTCAGGAACAATTTTTTTAAAGATTTTTCACTACAGTAGCTAACAATGCACACAATTATTGTGTGCTTACCAAGTTCAGGATGTTGAGTGATTTAGGATTGTAATATACCTATGAAAAATATCAATAAAAAAGGTTTTTCTAGCTTTTTCTGAACCAAAAGCTGCTCACAGTCACCCCCTGAAACAAATAGACAGAGGTATTCAGATTGCTAATATTAATAAGAACGAAGGCTCCAAATACCAAAATACCTAGCATAAAGGGAGGCCTGGCAGAGGGCCAGACGGCCCAGGTGCATCAGGAGACAAATGAAGCAGAACTGGATTAGCATATGTTATCACCAAGAAAGTAACAGGAATTTGGAAAGAGGGAGAACTGGATTTTGGGGTGTTGGGTGGCAGAATTCTGCACTGCTTACCACTACTATTCCTTTATCTCCCTACTGCAGAGGGTGAGGCCACGAGGCAGTAGATACACCTAGCTTCCCATGCTTGGGGGAAATTGAACATCAAGACGGGTGCTGACTTCTCATCTGGATTTGATGGAGTAGCAGGACCGACATCCCCTCTCAAGGCAGCAATGTATGTTGGAAAAAAGAAAAGAACAGCGTATCTCCTGCGGAGACTGAAGGCTCAACTCTTTGCTCCTCATCCCTTACTTCCGTTTAGGGCTAGATGAGCACTGATGAGGATCCACATGGGCTCGGGACTTGTGACTTCGGCCCTTCAGAAGCCAGATACTGAGAAAGCAGTGCTTGAGGTAGGAAGAGATATTGCCCTCTGTGGATGTTCAGACACTTAAACAAGCATTCCACACGTAGGGGAAATGAGCAACCAAGCATAGCCAGTACCCTGAGTAGTGACCACAAGCCTTCCAGACCTCGAACACAAGCCTGAGGTACTGAAGTTGGTTACGCCAGCCACCTTTGTCCTGTACCAGCTCAGTCTTGAGCCCAGTGAAAGCAGGCTGGAAAAAGAGGGTTATAAGATTCCACACCCAAAGCATACATTTTAAACTAAAACCTAGATACTAGCAAGGCCCTCACATTTGATCAACTGCCTAACATGCCTATGTATTTCAAGCCAGAACATAATTTTTTAAAGTATTGGATTTGATGGAGTTTACTGAATTATAAGTAATTTACTATGGAACAAAATATCAATTCAATGTAAAGGTTATTAAAAAGTTTACCTATAGCAAATAGTCCCTCACACACTTGCATCTCCCCATTTAACTGTCATCCATATTGTGTGAGACAGGTCCTATTAGTCTCATGAACAGAAGAGCAAGTGGAAGCACAGAGAATTTAAATTGTTTGTCTTCGGCCACACAGCTAGCAAGTGGCTAGGATTCAAAGCTAAGGACTTGAACTTCATATAATCCTAACCATTATATAATCCTAACCTGCTGTCACAACTCAGGACAATTGAGTGCTGTCCCCTGGACCATAAGGGACCCTTGGATAATTGAGTGGGTAGAGGATGAAAAGATGCAGGCATTTCCACACCCAAAAAGTACCCTTCACAGAAGACTCTTAAAAGAGTGAGATTGAAACTCTATGCTTGCTGGATCAGTGGCAGCCTTGACTAATGGCTGCAGAGATCTCTATGACAGACTTTTATAACCGCTCAATGAGAGGACTTGCAGACTCTCCTGACTTGCAAAGGCAAAGCCAGTAACCTTGCTATACTCTACCCTCCAACAAAATCCATGCTACCTTTGTATCCTTGAGTTACCGTCAAGGCTGCCTTGTGTTTCTCTTCCTTATACACTTATCAAATGCATTACCTTTATGTAAAACAGGAGAAGGCAAGATCAAATAATGTGATTTTCCCTGGACTCTGACACCATCTTTTATCCCTCGCACATCCAGATTCATTTGTTTAGGAGAATGGGATTTTTTGTCTGTTTTGTTAACTAATATATCTCTGTAACAGGGCCTGCTATAGTGACTATCCTTTAAAAATATATTCATTTATTTAAAGTCATGTATATAGGAGAACCCATGTATGAGCATGCACGTGTGTGAGTGCAGGTGCCTGCAGAGTCCAGAAAAGGGTGTCAGAAACCATAGAGCTAGAGTTATAGGCAACTGTGAGATGTCTCACATGGATGCTAGAAACCAAACTCAGATCCTCTGCAAGAACAATAAGTGTTCTTAAATACTGAGCCATCTCTCTAGCCTCTCAAAAACTAAATTTTATCCAAACAACCTCATATACTTAGAAAATACATTTGAAATAGGGTTGTATTACAAATAATGAGTCCTTTCTTGTTATTACCTTCCCTACTCTAAACAGTCAATGATACCTGGTTTTGCAATTTTAATTTTCGTTTCGAGAATTTTTTATGTGAGTACTGTGTTTCTATCATTTCTACCCTACTCCAACTCCCCTTGTGTCCACTCCTGCCTCTCTCAAATTTATCACCTCTTCTTCATTATTACACACACACACACACACACACACACACACACACACACCCTGCTGAGTCCATTTAGTATTGCTCACTAGTGTACATGTGTTTAGTACTGACCACTTGGAATTGATACCTATCAAGGAGCTTGTTCCTGAAGAATACTGAAACTCCCTCTCACAGCAGCTATTAATTACCCATAGTTCTCCTTCTGGGAGTGCAGCCTTTGGAGACTTCAGATAAGTGTAGCTCTAACGCCTCATCAAAGAAGCTTGCTTTTGCAACATACAGAAACCAATGTAGCAAAACGCAGAGAACAACTGACCTTGGGGTGCTCAGCCCCACTTGATACATCAACAACACAATCCCTGTCCCAAGGTTCAGAGAACCGCAGAGA